ACGAATTACCTCGTCTTCCCATCATGTCCTTGAATTTGTATTGATAAAGCCACTGGAGGGCGAAACGTCTACTGATAAAGACACCCAGATGTTGCACATGTCTTAATTCTTCATCTTTCCGACTACCAGTCAGTGTTGGCATCTTCAGTGTGAGCAAACTACTATAATAACTCAGATTTTTCGACTCTGACAGTAATTTGTATCTCTTATTCGAACCTTTCCTTACCACCCCACAAGGCTTTTTTTTTCTTAGGCTTGAGCGCCCCACACCTGAGGCATTTATCCCATTTTGCTGTAAATAGAGTTTCCGGAGTTTTCATCATCTATGTATTTAAAAGCTGTTTTATTTCTCATTATAGTACACGAGTTTCTCACAACTTTATTTACATGATTTTCCAGTGAAATGTTTTTTATTAATAAGTTGTAGATCCCACCCCTGTGTGTAAGACTTTCAAAATCTATATTTTTCATGTGGCATGATTTCGTTTTCTTCCCTCCTTTCATCCCTCTTTTTGCTCATTTTATCCATATCCTGCAGTGATTTCAAGTCGTTTTCATTATATATTTTTGCCTAAGATTATTCTCATCCGCGAATATATTTGCAAAGTTTTCTATTCCTTCTAGTAAGTCATTTATATACGTGATCACTCATTCCACGGTAATTAGGTATATTTTGCAAATTCCTTTCTTTGTTCTAGTAAATACTAGAACAGTAAATACTAGAACAGTAAATACTAGAACAGACGATAAATCGGTATATATAACTGTCGCTTCAATAATATACAGGTACTTAAAAAATTATTTCGTTTATAAATTCTACTGAGCATTTATTTACACTTCAGACTTCACAAGTTGTTCTATTTGTTTATAGTTAAAATCTCTATTTACATTATTTTTTTTTATTTCGACCGTCCTTCATTAATTCCCTGAGTGTGTGTTGTACTTCAGTGTTCTCAACAGACTCTTGTTATACACATTATCAGGAAATAAACATTAAACACATCGCAAAACATCCTTTAACTCTGTAAGGGCTTTTATTAAGTCATAAAGCAGATGGAAAGTATATATGTATAGTTCTACGAGGAGAAGCGGAAGTTCTAGAGAATTATGATTACATACGAGAGAAGTTTTCAGCTTGTTATGAGTCGTAGGTCAGTGAATCCTTGCAGCAGAAACACTTGTCAGTTATAGGGAAAAGTCGCCTGTTCTTTGCCCGAGAAAGCCTGTCCCCATTCACGCACAGCTCAATTTACTAAAAAATCCACTGCAGAATGGTGTATACGAGCGGAGTGGTTAAGCTATGCGCACCTTGGTTCGTCTCAGTGCCTTTCCATGTAGTAATAAAAGCCGCTTCTGGAGACCTGCTTCTGATCCAGTCACTTTCTTTGGTCCTGTCCATTTGTTTAGTGATGAGTTTGGCTTCTTTCTGTGATACCTGGTGTGAGAATTAATCTTGCTCTACGTCACCTGCATTGCTGGTGTTGTAAACCTGACAACTTCCCATCATCACAGGTGACTTGACAAAGCTCCACACAGAGCGAAACGTTCTCCTGATATATGGAAAAGAGAGAGAGAGAGAGAGAGAGAGAGAGAGAGAGAGAGAGAGAGACCCCAACAGATATTGCACGGTAAATAAGCTGTTGATGGTCTGTATATATGCCCCTTTTTTCCCATTCTACGTCACAACAGGAGAATATTTATCAGATAATTAGGCCGTGAGAATAACCATTGGATATTAAAGGGAGAAGGGAACGAAAGAATAGAAAAGGGAGAGAGGGGGGAAGAATAGAAGGGAGGAAGAAGCTGATCCTGTGATGTATGATAAGAAGGGAAAGTAAAATTATAGATTTGCTCATTGAAGAGTGAATGAATGAAAGAAAAGGGATTTAATGGAAGATAGAAGGGAAGTGAAGGATAGAACAGGTATACATGAAGGGAAGTGAGAGAGAGAGAGAGAGAGAGAGAGAGAGAGAGAGAGAGAGAGAGACGATGAAATGGGGAATAGGATTTTTTCTTGACTAGAAGGCAGGACACACTGGATTCGGGATAAGAGGAGGGAGGTAGAGAGAGAGAGAGAGAGAGACTGACAGAGGGAGGGGGGAGAGGGAGAATAGAGATAAGTGGTACTGAGGAGAAGCCCAGTTCTTCTGTTCAACAGAGAGTTAACACCACTACTGCTCTCTAATAGAGACGGAACACCACTACTGCTGTTCAAGAGATGGAACACCACTACTGTTATTCAAGAGATGGAACACCACTACTGTTATTCAAGAGATGGAACACCACTACTGTTATTCAAGAGATGGAACACCACTACTGTTATTCAAGAGATGGAACACACCTACTGTTATTCAAGAGACGGAACACCACTACTGTTATTCAAGAGACGGAACACTACTGTTATTCAAGAGATGGAACACCACTACTGTTATTCAAGAGATGGAACACCACTACTGTTATTCAAGAGACGGAACACCACTACTGCTGTTCAAGAGACGGAACACCACTACTGTTATTCAAGAGATGGAACACCTCTACTGTTATTCAAGAGACGGAACACCATTACTGTTATTCAAGAGACGGAACACTACTGTTATTCAAGAGATGGAACACCACTACTGTTATTCAAGAGATGGAACACCACTACTGTTATTCAAGAGATGGAACACCACTACTGTTATTCAAGAGATGGAACACCACTACTGTTATTCAAGAGACGGAACACCACTACTGTTATTCAAGAGATGGAACACCACTACTGTTATTCAAGAGATGGAACACCACTACTGTTATTCAAGAGATGGAACACCACTACTGTTATTCAAGAGATGGAACACCACTACTGTTATTCAAGAGACGGAACACTACTGTTATTCAAGAGATGGAACACCACTACTGTTATTCAAGAGACGGAACACTACTGTTATTCAAGAGATGGAACACCACTACTGTTATTCAAGAGACGGAACACCACTACTGTTATTCAAGAGATGGAACACCACTACTGTTATTCAAGAGATGGAACACCACTACTGTTATTCAAGAGACGGAACACCACTACTGTTATTCAAGAGATGGAACACCACTACTGTTATTCAAGAGACGGAACACCACTACTGTTATTCAAGAGATGGAACACCACTACTGTTATTCAAGAGACGGAACACTACTGTTATTCAAGAGACGGAACACCACTACTGTTATTCAAGAGATGGAACACCACTACTGTTATTCAAGAGATGGAACACCACTACTGTTATTCAAGAGATGGAACACCACTACTGTTATTCAAGAGACGGAACACCACTACTGTTATTCAAGAGACGGAACACCACTACTGTTATTCAAGAGACGGAACACCACTACTGTTATTCAAGAGACGGAACACCACTACTGTTATTCAAGAGACGGAACACCACTACTGTTATTCAAGAGACGGAACACCACTACTGTTATTCAAGAGACGGAACACCACTACTGTTATTCAAGAGACGGAACACCACTACTGTTATTCAAGAGATGGAACACCACTACTGTTATTCAAGAGATGGAACACCACTGTTATTCAAGAGACGGAACACCATTACTGTTATTCGAGACGGAGCACCACTACTGTTATTCAAGAGATGGAACACCACTACTGTTATTCAAGAGACGGAACACCACTACTGTTATTCAAGAGATGGAACACCACTACTGTTATTCAAGAGACGGAACACCACTACTGTTATTCAAGAGATGGAACACCACTACTGTTATTCAAGAGATGGAACACCACTACTGTTATTCAAGAGACGGAACACCACTACTGTTATTCAAGAGACGGAACACCATTACTGTTATTCGAGACGGAGCACCACTACTGTTATTCAAGAGATGGAACACCACTACTGTTATTCAAGAGATGGAACACCACTACTGTTATTCAAGAGACGGAACACCACTACTGTTATTCAAGAGATGGAACACCACTACTGTTATTCAAGAGATGGAACACCACTACTGTTATTCAAGAGACGGAACACCACTACTGTTATTCAAGAGACGGAACACCACTACTGTTATTCAAGAGATGGAACACCACTACTGCTGTTCAAGAGACGGAACACCACTGTTTCTGTTCAACACAGACGGAACACCACTGCTGCTGTTCAACAGACAGAAACACTAATACCGTTGTTTAACAAAGTTAAAATAAAAATATATAAAAAAGACACGAAAGTTTCGGGTCACATCGTTAGTTATTATTATTATTATTATTATTATTATTATTATTATTATTAACACTCCGACCGTCTCCCAAAAACGTAGTGTGACCCGAAAAAAAGAGGAAATACATTTTCCATCATTCATACAAGTGCGACACCCATCCCACCCCTCTTTGCACCTCCAGGACTTGAGTCCGGCTCACCTGCTTCCCTAAATCGGTTCTTACAAGTTACCATGCTCACACTCCAACAGCAGGATAAATAATAAAACCCTTTCCTTCACAATTACCACGCTTTCACAAATTTAATACTATAACCTACTTCTCACATTCCACTCTTATTCGTGAATTTAAATACCCATACATATCCTCTCTTCCCCTTATATAGTTCATCATTATTTTAATATTATTGCTACCCCTCCTTTAGCCCTAGTCACTCAGCTACACCCGATTTAACCCCCATTTACACCTCACTGAAATTCTTCTACCTCCTTCCCATTAGCTTTGTTTTGCTTACAGCTAGAACATCCAATTTGTTTTCATTTATAATATTAATAGTCAATTCTTTTCATCACTATTACATCCACACTCAATGACACAAATTTCAAAATTTCATTCTTTCTAATGTTATCACTCTTATTTAAAAAAAAAAAATTATGAACTCTATGTAATGTTTTCGTTTAGAAATTTAAATTGGGAATTTCGTGAAGGAAAAGACCGATATTTTTCGTATAAAGCATTGCCTTTATTTTAACAAAAGCTTATGCATACATATATAAAAATTCTGTACATTATATACACAAAGTAGCTTGAAACTTAACAAGCATAAGTGCACTTAACACCGATGTACGGAAACATTGAGGTATATTGAGCCTTACGCTCTGCAGTAGGCCCCTGTCACCTCTTGGTATATTCGTGAGGAAAGCGCAAAGCCCGTAGGATATACACAGTAGGCTCATACTGCCGAGGGTAGGAGATATACCAGAGACGAGAACAGTTGGTGGGTACAATTAACATGATAAAAATATTTCAACAATAATTATACATAAACGTACCACTGGATACGGTCCAAGCAAACATGGAATGTGCTTAGAGGAATGTTTGTATATATACATGGAATGTGTATGGAAATTGCATACCAGGATTAGACGTGACGGAATTGTCATACATAAATGTACACAAGCCGTGTATGCACATGTGTGTGATATAGATTTTTTTTTGAAATACTTTGAAGAGGCTGTGTGCCAACCTTGTACTGGTTGTGTGTGTGTGTGTGTGTGTGTGTGTGTGTGTGTGTGTGTGTGTGTGTGTGTGTGTGTGTGTGTGTGTAAATGCCCACAAAGAACATACTTCCTTATTTTCTATGCAGTTTGTATGAGGTGAGATGCTCTCTTATTGAACCATTGATACCTCAGAAATACTGAACAGTTGGGTTCGATGATGTGTTAGAGTGCAGCCTAACCCAGTTGACGTCCTGCCAACAGTAGTGTGGAAGAGATACAGGTTGTAGAACTAGCGTTTATTGGGACAGTGTTTCGCTGTGTAGAGCATTATAAAGTTGTGGGTAGATAAAAACCTTCACAGATCTAAACGCTGTCTCAGCGAGGGCCTCTTCAACAACCTGTGTCTTTTCTGTACTGATGTTTAAGGCCTGTCGACCACCCGGCTGTTATTAAGGCCGCAATTTTCCTAAATAATAATTAAGGACACTGTAATCACTTAGACAAGGATTAAAGCAACTTCTCATTGTATATTCACAAAGGTGCATACATCTTGGCGTATATACACAGAGATGCGCCTCTGTCAATTTATATAAACAGACAAACCTCTCGGTATATATACACACACACTTGGAGGTACTATACACCTCTCGGTGTATATATATACACTGGGAGATACACAAGACGAAACACATCCCTTCATATGTCATATAACCAAAGTGAAAAAAAGCAATACTCCAAATACTTTTGTTATTCCTTCATGTGAGGGATCACGAAAGCTCGTGGAATTAATAACACTGCTCTTCACTGTGGTTACAACGGATATTAAATCAAGATATCATCTGTCTCTTGTCATCTAAGTGTATTTCTTTATACTCACTGAGAGATACCAGTGTACATACCCAGGTTTCCATAGGCAAGATACACACATGCTTAACATTAAATAAAATACTGTTTGAGTCTTTTTACGAATAAGAACTTCACGTGTCTCAAAGACACTTGAGCAATGACAGCATCAAAGGAGATCACAATATTGTTTTTAGTGAAAACTGTCCATAACAACTAGACTATAATCATATATCAAAAAAAAAGAGATCACCGATATATTATAAAAAGTTATATTACAATAATACTCATGGAGTTAGTTAACAATTATAAGGCATTAAAAGGCACATAAGTAGTAATTGGAAGCAATGTATGAAACCGACTTTAGGGTCGTAAGGCACTAAGGTAGTCAGCTGTCTTTTATTTACGACATCTGGTGGACTTGGAAAGTCACACTGCATGGGTTACAAAGCTAATAACATATTTTTGTTTTAGCAACATGGAGGGAATTAGGAGAATCAACTTTGAATAAAATTATGTATATATTGTGTGTGCGTGTGTATGTATGATTGTTATATGTCTTCATGTTATGATACTGTTAGCTTTTTGGCTTAAGATTAAGATATAAAAATAGGCTGAGACTCGTCGTGGCTTCAACGAGACCTTGAGATTATTACATACAATTTGTCGTGCTAACTCTTTAGTTCCTCTGGGTGTAGGGTAGCAGTGTAGAAATTGTCTCTCTGGCGCTTCGACATAAAATATTTCTCATCAAAAGTATCTTAGACAATTTCTACACTGCTACGACCGTCAGTGCTTGCCTGCTGTCGTAGGATAAACTGCATTACTCGTCACCATATCTCTGTCAGACGGAAGAGATCAACTTGCATCCATATTAGCAAGGGCCAAATAACGCCCCGATAGATAAACTCAAGCAAGCAGCAATTGTAAGCTGTAATAAGACTACGTTTCGCCTGCTCTGCAAAAGAAACATAGCTCTAGTAAAGTTTCCAATTGCTGCTCGAGTTCTTTCATCAGCTACGGCTTGTTGATATATCCAAACCCTTAACTAGTATAACCGACGTCGCCATGATGTTGGATTTCTTAATGTAAGGAATAGCATTACTGCTGTAAAATTAGAAATTGTAGGGGCCTCGAAGGGCCATTTACAGACAGACAGACAGACAGGCAGGCAGGCAGGCAGGCAGACACAGCCTGGACACCACCACCCATGAAGAAGCTTTGGCGTAAGTAAATTATGTCTTCTTTAGGCTCTGCTGCACTTTTGACTAGACATTCACAAGCCTTCCCACCCCCACCCCATCCCACGGAAATATATGCTGTATAATATATATTATAAAATGCTTTCAACCCACGAGTACGTAAATGCTATAATGTCTTATTCTTTGAGTAAATCTTGCCATGCTTTCTTTGGAGAAGATTCTGCTTGAAACTACTGGTGTTGGGTAGATTAGTGTCTCATCAGACCGTCCCCGGTTCAGATAATTCCTGGTCCCTTAAACCATCCTTGGTCTTCTCAGACCATTCCGGGGTCTTCTCAGACTACAAGATGTCTGATGTTTTCCTTCGTCGTGGCTTCATGTCCTGTTATGCTTCTGTTTTCCTGATAGGCCAGTTTGTACTCCGTCTCTCACTGTCTCCCTACGTGGTCACTGCCTTTCTTCCTCCCTTCTACTTCCTCTACTCGCTTTTCTTATTCTCTTTATCTTTTCTTGTCTTCTGGCACGGGTTTACTCTGTGGATTTGTTTCGTGTGCCTGTAAAAAGAAGAGAAAATAAACGCTACATTAATTGTGCAAGTGAAACGTGCATTCTAAGTATATATATATATATATATATATATATATATATATATATATATATATATATATATATATATATATATATATATATATATATATATATAATATATATATATATATATATGACATTATATATATATATATATATATATATATATATATATATATATTATATATATATATATATATAATGTCGTGCCGAATAGGCAGAACTTGCCATCTTGGCTTAAATAGCAACGCTCATCTTGCCATATAAGACAAGCGAAAATTTGTGTATGCAATAATTTCGCCAAAATCATTCTGAACCTAACGAAAAAAATATATTTCACTGTGTTTATTTAGTATTAAATTATTTTAAGCAAATCTGAAATATATTTAGTTGGGTTACGGTAAAATAAATTGTTCTTGCTATAATGAGGTTAGGTAAGTTTTCTAAGATTCTTTTGATGAAAAATTATAAATTTTTACATTAACATTAATGAAAAAATATATCTTTAAACGTATAAGAGAAAATTTTAGAAAGGACTAAATTTTAAATGAGTTCTTGCTAATTGACCAGTTTTACATATTCGGCACGACATATATATATATATATATATTATTATATATATATATATATATATATATATATATATATATATATATATATATATATATATATATATATATATATATATATATATATATATTAAAATGATCTAATAGCGTTAAGACACTTTTACTAAGTAACAAAAATCCGTATCGTGTAATGTAAACTCATTTACAATGCTAAGATATATATATTATTATTTTTTACATTCCCAGGCATGCCCATGCCCATGGCGCAACCTCTTGTAAGCCTGCCCACCGTACATGAAACTCTGCTAACAATTTAAATCAACTGACTGCATTATAATAGTTAAGAGTGGGAACCACAGGCACTTTAAAGGCCAAAAGCAATTCACTTGGCCATTCACCGAAGGAACTCTCATGCACTGAACCCTTTTCATTCTAAACTTACCGGTTATTATTAGCATTAGAAAGTGGGCAGCCCCCCTTTCTTCTCCTTTCGCGAGTTGGCTGGACTCTCTGGTATCAGTAAGCTCATCAGGACTCGGTCGGGACGCCCTGAATATTATATAAGGATTTAGGGAGTCTCTGGGAGACATTCCTTCGACATTAGTTATCTGCTTTTTTATATAATACTTCATTGCCATCTTCGAGACATCATACTAGACCTCATCTAGAGACCGGGGGGCTTTCCTGGACATGTGAGAGACGAGACGTATGACTTCACGAGACCTTCCTGACGACAGTGATGAAATAGGCTGTTTGAAGGAAGGGCATCTGGTAGCGAACATCCACGGCTGATGACTCAGCGACAAACCGGTGTTTTTCTGCTTTCCTGAAGTTGTGGCGAACACCACAGTTCAGTAGCAGACTAGCGAAGGCACAGATATGAGGTTCTCCCGTAGGACTGAAGGAAGAAAGGGAGTAGACCTGGAGAGAGAGATGTTGGAAGCGTCGTCGACTCTCACATACCACTCTGAAACTTTGCTGCCGGACTGGAGAAATTGACCAGTAGTGCACGATGATAGAAAAGCATGACTAGATGTTTCCCTTTGTAGCAT